ACTACTACTACTACTACTACTACTACTACTACTACTACTCTACTACTACCCAGGACATCAGTGTCTTCTTTTGGAAAGGTTTTGGTTTTGGTTTCCTGGTTTTGGTTACCGAATCAGCGGTTTTGGTTACCCAGGACATCAGTGTCTTCTTTTGGAAATGTTTTGGTTTTGGTTTCCTGGTTTTGGTTACCGAATCAGCGGTTTTGGTTACCGAATCAGCGGTTTTGGTTACCGAATCAGCGGGTTTTGGTTACCGAATCAGCGGTTTTGGTTATCGAATCATAGTTACCGAATCAGCGGTTTTGGTTACCGAATCAGCGGTTTTGGTTACCGAATCAGCGGGTTTTGGTTACCGAATCAGCGGTTTTGGTTACCGAATCAGACGTTTTGGTTACCGAATCAGACGTTTTAGTTACCGAATCAGCGCTTTTAGTTATCGAATCAGCGCTTTTAGTTATCGAATCATAGTTACCGAATCAGACCGTTTGGTTACCGAATCAGACGTCGACCCTTTGCGATGGATGTGCCTTGGATCCGCAGGAGCCCATGCTGCAAAGATCGGGTAGGTCCTTCCAAGAGATGGGACGACTGGGCGAGTCGATCGAGTGCCAAGCGACTTCGTGTCCTGTCACAAAGGGGGTTAGTTTGGAGGCCATCGCTAGTAGGTTGGAGGCCATCGCTATTCGGTTCCTTTTGCAAATAGGTTAACATGTATACCGAGTCCAAGTGTCCTGTCCAAAACAAAGGGTGGGTTTGAGCCTTCAAGGTTCCGAGCGAGGAATTTGCCTTCTGCAAAGCCACTGGCTGGCAGTCAAGAAAGGGATAGGGATACAAGGGGGTGGATAGAAAAATATCCTCTGAATTCAATTCTATAGCTTAATTGATAGGGGTACAAGCTTGATAGGGATACTCCATCTGAAAATCCTCTTGATAGGTACTCAAAGCTTCTCTCAATTCTCTGAATCTCTGTAGGCGGACAGTCACATGAAACAGCAAAAGAAGGCTGTAGAAAAAAATGACCCATGCACTTTAAAGGACAATTCCATAACACGTTTCCTGACCCCCATGCTAGAGTTACCAAAACGATCCAAAAACTACAATCAACCCAATCAACCTTGATCCACAAGTCCCCAGCCTCTCTCACACACTCGTCGCAACCTGCAGACATCTCGAAGCACCTCGACTTTCAACACATTTTCTGAGAAGTGGCAAGTGAACTGTGTCACTCCTTCAAGGGAAGCGTCAGAACCTGATGAAACAGCTTGATTTCTGATGAAATGACGAGTTCGCGTCAAAGCATCAAACGCAATTTCTGTCTATGGGTCCTTGGCGCGGCTGAGGATGCTGCTTAGTCAAATGAAACGCATCAATTTGCTGAGGAAAAGCGCTTGTTCGGAAGTCACTTAAGCTGTTACTGATTAAAAAACAACACCAACCAATGATGAACGATTGTCCACTCACTTGGCTACCCGACGTGAGTTGCGTGGCAAGGTTGCAAAGCGACAAAGTGGCAGTTAAAAGGGTGCAAACCTGGAGGATGTGTGTGTGCGTGGTCGTGGGCAATTAGGCCGCTGAGACGATCTCACCACCCACCCCGCCGTGCACGTCTCGCCTGCACAAAAATGTCATGGATGGTGTTGTAAGGCACCGCATCAATGGCGCTTGGCCTTCAATATGGCATGATCAGAAAGCTTTGGAGAGGAATCTTCAAGCATTTTTTTCAGAGTGATCGTGTTTTTGGTATCCGCCTTGTCGTATCCGCCTTGTCATCTTTACCAAAAGGTTTGACAGAAGTTCGAAGGAAAGAAGTCACTTGACTCCACGTGAAGATCACCATCTTCCTCTTAATTCACCATCACTCTCAATTAGATGCTTTCGTCTCTTACCATCTTCCTCTTTTCCGTGGCCAAGATGCGGTCTTGGCGCGTTGGAAGGTGCTCTGAGCGTGCATTTTTGGTCACACCACGTACACCCCGTTGGAAACTTTCTGGCATGGGCTTTGAGGGGCGGACGTCGTTGGACCGCGAGATGTGTGTGGTAACCAATAAATGTCTTTTCACCTCTGCTATGCGTTACCAACATGGACGGCCCTACCAACATGATGCGATGGCGTATGCTCATGGGGGCGCGGATGATGCACTCAGATATGCGGTTTGGATTCGATGTTGTTAAAGATATTAATATAACGAAATCTAATGGCCTTGATACTGTTCCTGATCCACCGCCGGAATTGGTTAGTACATGGTCCCTGGTATCAATTGGCATTTGCTGTTCATACAGTTTGGAAAGGATCACCATGGTGCAGTCCGAGAGACTCCCATGGATCAAGGGAATCTAGATCTTGCAACCCCATCGTTCATTGAACATGGTCTTCGCTTTGTTGCTCGCTATCTATCTATCTATCTATCTCAAGAGTAATTCTATGAGGTTGCTAAAGCTTGGATTCTATTCCACAGCTGTCTGTGGCTGGCCAGTTTGCCTAGCGAAACTTCAGTTCTCTCGTGATCAGGACTCTAAATCATTCCCTGCCACCTTCAAAAGCTACTTCCAAGGCTCAAATGCATTGTGATTCTTTCCACTCAACCCATTTCCAATTCAAGCACAGCTTCGCATTGCGATGAGGGCTGGATAATCCTTGGATGGTCATACATCGGCTTTAGTGGTCCGCATTCTCAGAGCTGTGCTCCATGTGTCCTTTTCTCTCTTTGACTCTTTCCCTACTTTAAGAACTTCTGTATGCACCTGCCCCCACAATGGATCAAGGAGATATCAAGTAGATTTTAGGAGCATGAGGTCGCTATGAAATCAAGCGTGTCACATTTGGTAGCTTTTGTTTCCTGCCTCAGGGCTGGCCTCGCTTTGGCTTCGAAGAATGGACTGATATGCGGTCAATGTGGTCCTCCTAAGATAAACAATTTGGATGGCTATGCAGGCTATGCATGTGCCTCTTCGTTTTGTGATCCATGCCTCTGGACTGAAAAGGCGACCATGGACAGGAGCACCTCAGCTGATTCGTCCGAGCACTCTGTGGACATCCAGTCTTGGGAAACATTGCTAGAGATGGTCTGAAAACACAAAGTGCCCTTGAAATCACTTCACACACAATCTAAACAAAATGTGCAAACTATTAAATGGTATATATTATAATATATGTATAACTATGCCGCAACACTGCTCCGCCCAAATGCTCCAACCTGTTCTACCCTACCAACTGCAACCTCGTTCTGGTGAGTCGTGGAACCTCGTCGACCGTTCTGAGTTCCTGGCGGTCACATTGATGGACAGGCGCCCAGCCAGCATGTCGATGGACAAAGGGCAAAACAGCGAGGTCGCCCTGAGCGTCGCGGCGACGGTGAACCCCGCCGCGCGTTCTTTTTGCGGAGCGAGGCCGTTCTTCGCAGAGTCGGGCTGTCTCCTCACGGCAAGAGTCGCAGGTCCTTTTTCAAAAATAGTGATTTGCTGGTTTACTGACTGATAAAGGTAAGTTCGGACAGACCCATATTATCACGGCCCTTAGTCCTCAACAAGTTCTTGGAGGTGGAGGTCCTCCTTTGCTTTGGACCCTGAAGACATCGGCTTCCTCCGGCGATCTTGCGAAGCAGGTCATTAGACTGCTAGCTTCGGCTCCATCGCCTGTCAAACGGTGGTCGCCCTGGTTGAAAAGCACTAAGACTGCCCCACTGAAGAGTCACATGGACCCCGAAAACCATTGGTTTGTAAATGAAAAACAGCTTTTCAGGATGCCATTCTCAGGGTCCATGTTGGTTTTCGGGAGTATATAACCGTATAGCCGTATCATCATTTACCTTCTAGGAGGCACCTGCGAGAACCCAGCGCTTCAATTTTCCCGCTGCTTTTCCCATGCAAGAACCAGCTGACTGTGCGCAACTTGCCGCAATCTTTGGACAAGCTCAACCCGTGTGCTGAAAACGGGTGTTGGACATGCCAGGCCCCTTCCATTCTTCGTCTCATGCATGTTCATAAGTGCCCGCATGAGGAATCAAGATCAATGAGTCAAATTATGATTGAAAACTCAAGTTGGTGTTGAAATACGAGACCCTGCAGCGTCAGTTGGGTCAAAAGGAAAAGCTCCATCATCTTCGGACGAACGATCTCCGCACTCAAAAGCACTCAAGCCCACTCTCTCAAGTCTTCTGAAGCCAGATCGCACTTAAGCTTCATGAGCAGGTCGTTCTACATACCTTGGACATTGAACAGCGTCCAAAGTATAATATGAAAGAAACCAAATCCAAGTTAGAAGCTAAAGAATGGATGAGAGCAACAGGGTTGATCTTGACATCTGACTATGGAATTATGATGATTTTTGGCATCTTGGTCCCACCTGGCCGGTGGCCATGCCAAATCTTATCGACTTTTTTTACCATGTCGAATTCATGAGCGTTTGAACTTCATTTAGATCATCCATGTCGACGGCTCTGGTCAAAGGGAACCATATGGTCATGTCGATGGAGTAGTTCACCATTCCAAAAATAAAATAATATATTATTCAAAATCTAAGCTTAAAAACATTTGGCGGGCAGGTCTTCCATGCACAAAACAGCTATAATACAAACTTATACAACAACGGCGAGTGCCAGGCCTCAACAATGGGGAGTGGTGCTTGGCCCGCCCGATTTCGTTCCCACACTTCCGAGCTGGCCACCTCGTCCGCCCTCAACGGCTTAGACCTCAAGATCTGTTTGGTTGAATCAGCAGTTCATCCCAAACTCTCCTAGGTGGAGGCCATCACTCCTAGGTGGAGGCCATCGCTACTAATAGATTCTGACTAGTTGGTCACCTCGATTCCACATTGGCAGCAGTTCCCCTGTCTGCTTCGTCCGACCTGGGGAAGGCACCTGCTTGCAAATCCAGCTCTTCATTGGTGCACGCAGGGCTTCGCGCCTGTCTGAGCTGGTACGGGTGTCAAGCAGCCTTGACTTGGGGCAGGTTTTGGTGCACTCTGTTGACTTTGACCTTGCACACTAGAGTAGCCAGCAAGCTGCAGTACCTTTCAGGCGGCATCAGCCGGCATTTATGTTAACCACATTATGTAAGTATATATAAACAAATAAAAAACACATATACACATAGAGAGAGATAATATAATATATAATATATGTATAGAACTATCTCATTGCCAGTGACTCGTCTAGCATCAAGCAAAGAGAAGCAGGATCTTCAGGTGTTGCTGCGTGTCCCACGTCATGGGCATGTCACCTCTCGCATGCGCTTGCCTCTTCTGCCGCCGAGAGGCAAGCCCTTGATCTCGCTGGCTAACATCACAGCCAAAACCACCAGCAAACCCAAAAGTACCTGCCATGGGCGCTTGCTGGCGCACCCCGCAAAACGTCATAGATGAGCCACCAAACCTAGCTGGCAAAATGGGTGCCCAGCTTTCGGAACTTTGGGAGCAAAAGCTCAGCTTTTACATGCTTTTACCTCTGTGGCTGTGCGCAGCTTTCTCTAGCCAAAGTGAGAGCGAAGACGGTTAAACATACCAAAACAAGGCAGGTTACTGGATTGCCCATGAGGTTGGCATGCTACAGTAACAAAACATGCCACACACCTCGTCCAGCAGCACAAACAGGTCGAACATGGTCAAACAAACTCATCAACCACCCAAATTGCTCCTCATCGACCGGTGGCAATGGACAAACACCCTTGGACTGGTGCACCTAAGGGTTGACTCATGCTGATCCCTGAACTTCTGGCACACTTGGTGAACGGACTGCTTTGGAGGACAACAACGGCAGCTATAATTACTACAGCCAGAAGGTGATACATGCTAGACCTGCCCAAAAGGTCCCCAGCCTTGGGTACCACATGCTGCCAAAACCACCGTGCCCGGTCCCTCCCGCGCCAGTCCCGTCCGGCCCCCGTCTCGCTCCGTTTCGCCACCCGCTGGCCGAAAACGTCGCCGCGACCGGACGCTGCGGCAACTGCTGTGCCTTCGGTGACAGGCTCAGGGCTAGGACACGGTGACACGGGGTGACACGGCTCAAAGCAGCCTCTTTTGGGGTCTTAGGTGGCCAGCGCGGCCTGATCCATATCGAAGCGCGCCGTTTTATACAGAAACAGCTCGCAGCGGCCAGCGCTGGAATGGATGGCGACAGCGTGACTCGATTGGAACAAGTGAGCCATGGCCGACATATGCAGCAAGTACTCAGTACATCTCAGTACTATTTTTCAAAATTAATCAAGCAATTTGCTGAATCTGTCGCCAACCGCGAGGAGAATCATTTGAGTGAGGGATCAAGCACTTCAAGTAGAGCGATCAAAACCTAAAGCACATCATGTAGACCCCCAGGACCTAATCATGTCTTGAGGGTGGTGAGCCTTCAGCTCAATCAAATTCAATCGACACGTCAGCAGCTTATCGACGGGTCAGCATCTTTCGCATCACACCTGGCAACGTGACACGGTGCTTCGTTCAAAATACCAACCACTAGTAGCGATGGCCTCCAACTACTTGCGATGGCCTCCAGCTAATAGCATCCTTGCTACTGGTAGCTTCTTGTTACTCGTTGATACAAAATGGCCAGTCAAAAGGTATTCTTGGGCCGGGCTGCATTGAACACTCCTGAATGCCTGAAACCAAGCTACTATAGCTACTTTGGTGTTCAACAGGGATGGGACAGCGATTGGTGTTCAACTATGATCATCAATGATCCACCATGATCGATCCAGGGTCCCAAACAAGCTGTGTCCATCCTTGACCCTGCAAAAAACAAGTGGGAGCTGCCAACTTAAACTTTAAACACCTTCCTGAATAGCTGCCGGCATACCATAATGTGCTCTGACACGACGATAATGTATCGAAATCCTTTCCTCAGCTCCGCCATATCCAAGCCACAACAAACAGCGAAGGAGTTCCACTCGGGGTTCCTCAAAGTATCTTCCAGGACTTCTTTTGGGCTGGCTTGTTTCACTAAGCAGGGCCATAGGGAAGCACATGACAGCGATTTGAACGACAAAACATCCACCTTGGCGGCCAAAAGGGCACGCAGGCCCGAAATGGGAGAAAATCCAGGAGGAATCAATGCAATCAACAAGCAGTCTAAACATAGTCACCCCGTCATAAGTAAGCAGCCAAGTTCAGCCACCCAAAGTAAGCAAACTCCACGGGTGCACCCTGACGTCCCACACGACGTGCCCGTTTGGCATGCGCTCGACCGAGTCCGGCCACCGCACAGCGCCGGACACCCAAAGTCTGGGTCAAGCGTCCGGAGTCGCCCTTTTTGCGTTGTCGGAACACGGGGTCTTCCGTGAACGAAGCCGGCAAAGAGGAGTCAGACCCAGAGGAGTCAAACCACAGACCGTGTCAGGAAACAAGCCAACCCCGAGACTGAAGGAGAAAGTCCAAGGGCAAGCGAGCAGAAAGGGTCCAGCACAGGAGTCAGAAACCATGTAGGGTTTTGCTCCATGATGTCGTGATAAGATCGAGAAGGAAGTCAAAGAGGAAGGTAAAAAAGAGTCAGGGCCACAAGGATTTTGGAAACTGAAGAAAAAATATGAGGAAGGAGGCGATAGAAGGTGCTCGAAGTGATGGAAAACATCGAGCCAGTCAAGTCCACCAAGCCCTGTTCACAAACCAAAGCCAAACCAAACCAAACCCTAAACAAGCCAAAGCCAAGCCTTGCGCCAATGAACCTGCATGAATACCCGGGGGGGCCGAGCTTACTATGCAAGGGTTTGAAACAACGGGTTTCACGCCTAGATTTCCAGGAGGCTGTTGGACCAGTAGACCTTCAAAAGGTTCTGAGTGTGTTTTGCATCCAGGATGGTCAGCAGTCAGTCCTATGTTTTTATTTAGATGCAGTGGTAGGTTCTGGAGGCCTTCTGAAAAAATATAACTAAAAAAATGCAGATGCTGAAACAAAAGTATTCTCTTGGCAAAAGGCTTTGTACTAACAGGGTTCCCTGAGTTTTCCTGTGGATGGAGGGCTTTGACCATCATGCAGTGGGAGTTGGGCCGCCCTTCCTCCACTGGTGACCCCCCTGGGTACATGATAGAAGCCACCAGTTGAGATGTGAACCAAGAGTTCTGCCGGGGTAGATGATAATGGTAGTTACCCCTCGGCCAAACACATGGATATATATATAGAGAGAGAGAGAGAAAGCAAGGCAGTCGAGGTAACTTTAGGGTTTGGATACTAATACACGTGCAAATCGGTTGGGGTGGTTGCAAACGATCAATGCTGTGTTTTCATTCTCGGTTTCTGATACAGTAAAAATCCGCCAAAGTTTCTGGACATCGTAGCTAAGTTTCCTGACACGGTTTTGATGTATCAGGGTTTGTGATGTATTATTGCAAACGTTCCTTGAGAGTTTCCTAATATGGTCGCACATTTTGCCGGACATGATTCTGTGTCACGGGGTGACTCTGCTGCTTTTCTTGCTCTCCTCACGTGTATGCTAGCTTCTGACAATGGGCTGAAAGCTTCTTCTTGACATGACTCTGCTAGCTTCTTGACACAACAAACCTGGTTTCCAAACAAGTTGAGAAGTGTTTTGCCCAAGTTGCTGACTAAACACATGGCCAGGCAAAAAGTAAACAGAATCTTTTGCATTTAGAGCTATTAGAACAACCAAAGCAAGCCTTTACAGAACCATGGTCTGTAAACCACACTCTCCCTATATTTTAGTGCCACGCATCCTCAAGGCAATGAATAAAACATCTTGACTCTCGGCAAGATCGAAAGGTGTTCGGCCATGCTCATTCTCCAACTCCGGGTCTGCCCGCGCCTCCACCCTTGGCAAATTGAGCACAGTCATACAAAGTCCCAGAACCATGAAGTGCGTATTCGTCTTGAACCGACCAGCTGGAGCCATCAAAAGAGTCAAATAACCAGAACATGCATGAATAGATTTCTTGGCAGCATGGGCTTGGCCCCTTCATGATTCTACTGTCCACGAACCAGTTCTGTGGCCTCGACACCCTCAACTGCCCGCGTGGTCGCGCGGTTTTCCAATGGCGCGTCGTCCTTCTCGTCGTCCTGCGACCCCGAACGTCGTCCTTCTCGTCCAAATGGCAGGAATGACGCGAGCTCTGCCCGTCCAAAGAAACATGCAAAGCCCAAAGGGCTTGTGCTCCACTCAGCCTTGGCTGGAAGCTGATCATGGCTCAGCTTCCAATCGTGGGGTTCGGAGCAGTGAGGGCAGCCCCAACTGCCACAACACATGGAATGTCATGTTTGATCAGTGATTTTCGAGGCCGTGCCGAATACTTTGTCAAGCAAATTGGAGAACTCTGCCTAAGGGCCCTCAATGACAGTAATTTATGTCGATTGCACTTCCTGCATGCAGGTTGTGGATTCCTAAGCTCTCCAAGGATGAAGCTACTGTTGGGCTACAGCTACGGGCCAATGGGGGCCCTCAGGAAACCCTTGCACCACGTCTAACCCAATTCTATCGAATCCTGTCCTGGTGGAATGGCGCAGGGGCGCTCTTCTGAGCCCAAAGCTCTGACTTTCCAATTCCGGACGTGAACTTAGGTCAAAGCTGCAGTAAACCAGCTCCTGTTGGCCCTGCCCTTGTTCCGCACTTGAGGCTTTTTCGTCGCACCCACCCCAGCCTTTGTAGTTTCTTTCCACTTGGAACTTGCCATCCGAGTCACTTCGAGGCGAGCACACAGTGACACTTCTGGCATCCTGCCAAAAAAAACGGGCCGGTTTCGCACAGATGATAGGGCTTCATCGGAAATTCATCACCCGCCTCTCGTGGTGCTTTGGTGAACCAACATCTTTAGGAACCCAATTCTCTGGGCCGAGATGGGTTCCCGAACTCTCGTTCCGAACATCACTTTACCACCATGTTTTGGGGGACTTCGAGGCGAGGACAATCAATGCAGCAAAATCAACAGCAAAGGGTCACCAAACATGTCCAGTAGCCGGTCCTTGGAAAAAGCTTGCATCCAATCAGATTCTTACGGCTGCGGCTATGAGCAGCAACTCCTCTACAATTCACGTCAGCCCTGGCTGTCCTGGCCACAGCGCAGCTTTGAACGGAAAGACTGTCACAGAATGTCACACAATCACTACCTGCCTGAAGCTTTCGGCGCCTTCGGGGCTCAAAAACGTGTCCTAATCAGTATAGTAATGGAACCCTCTCTGTGTGAGCACACCTCTTGCAGGCGTCACGGAGTGCACACTGCCCCAAACCAAAAGAGGTCCATGCGGTAGAGAACAAACCGTTTGGGACTGTAGCCGCGAGGGCCATTCGCATGACCAGGTTGCTGACACGTGAACAGCACAGTGGGGTCCACTTGGAATGTCTTGAGCTGTTGTCATGGATTTGCAAAAGACCCAGGGAGTTGACCTTCCCCAGGAAGTCTGTAATCAAATATTTACTGTGCATAGAAGTCACATCGTCAGAAATTATCACAAGAAGACCCAGAAGACACATAGAAGACACAGCAGCCCGCTGGGTGTAAACAGCTCTCTCTGGGTCTTTGATGATCACAGCCCGCCGTCCCGCCGTCGAAGCTCGAAAAGGCAAGAAGCGCAGGAAGAACACTCTGACAGCAGAGGTGCATGTTTACGCCCAACTTACGTCATTTACCTGCATTCTCAATAAAAAGACATGGAAGCCATATAAATCCATTCCTCTTCAAAAGGGGGCTCACTTCCAACAGCTGCCTTGAGGTTTACGTTTCACAACTAGTTCAAAGCTCAAGCTTCAGTTCTCTCCTGTCCCACCGGCCCACGAAACTCATGAATCAAACAAATCTGATATGGCGACAAGGTTCAGCAGCAAGGCTGTGACATCCAAACCTTTGCTGGCAGCAGTGGAGAAACAACTGAAGTATACATAAAATTCCATAGGCCCACATGTATATAGGTTTGGCACTTTTAAGAAGAGTGGGGAGAGGTGCCCTTGAGATTTCTTCAAGTCTCCAAAAACCGCATGTATCGCCAGGCAGTCTCCGAAATTTGGCAACTGCAACTGCTGCGGTTAGGAGCTCTGAGCATTTGAGATCGTGGGTCCTGCAAGAAGAGATGAAAGCGCTCGCTACCAAATGAAGTAGACAGGTATGCCCTGGATGTAAGGCCTGACTTGGGGTATGCTGACTTGGCCTTTGAATTGAGGACCACCGGCCGCCTCCTGGGTTGAAACCCATCTCTGAACACCAAACCACTGGTTGCCATGGGGATGCAAATGAGGCCCTCTTAAGGGCCACCTCTCAACCAAGAGACTATGTGGATTCATGTGGGCCACCGCAGCCAAGCTCGCGAAGGCAGAAGCATCGTCCACTCGCGCGCGGAATTCCAAGAGTTTGGAAATCACTGGTGCCTCGGTGTGTCTTGGAACAGGTCTCTTCTCAAACGGGTCTCTGTCTTCGATTTGGGTTGACTGCTGGCAGCAAACTTTTGGGTTGGAGCTGTGCAGTGTCAGCTTGCCCCTATTGCCCGAACAAGCTGAAACACATGTTTTGCTGGTGGTAGGGTAGGTATAGATGCGGACAAAGTCGCTTGGACATTGCCAAATGTATAACAAATGGTGATTACCACATGGATACCTTCGGATATTCTAACCGATAAATAGTGAGATCAACACATCAACCCCGGCCCAAAGGTAGAGAATCCAAGCTGCAGGTGCACAGTTCATGCAAGCTTGACTCAGAATAGAAGTCTGATAGCGAGAAGAGGTTGGCCTCGTCGCTTCAATACATCGAAAGGACAACAGTTGTTGTTCAACTGAACGAGTCGCGATGGCCTCTAACCTAATAGCCATGGCCTCTAACCTAGCAGCGATGGCCTTCAACCTAGTAGTCATGGCCTCCAACCTAGTAGCGATGGCCTCCAACCTAATAGCCATGGCCTCCAACCTAGTAGCGATGGCCTCCAACCTAATAGCCATGGCCTCCAACCTAATAGCCATGGCCTCCAACCTAATAGCCATGGCCTCCAACCTAATAGCCATGGCCTCCAACCTATTAGCCATGGCCTCCAACCTAGTAGCGATGGCCTCCAACCTATTAGCCATGGCCTCCAACCTAGTAGCGATGGCCTCCGACCTATTAGCCATGGCCTCCAACCTAGTAGCGATGGCCTCCAACCTAATAGCCATGGCCTCCAACCTAATAGCCATGGCCTCCGACCTATTAGCGTTCCTGAAGGGAAATCCTTCTCTTTGTAGAATCCCAGAAACCCAACCATGGACTCTCCACGATCGAAGATTCTTCCCTCTAAAGTTGAATATCAAAACGTATTGAACTTGACAAAGGGTGATACATGGCCATGCCACACCTTCATTCATTTTTGACCGGACTGTCTCTCTTGACCGTTTAACCTGCCACTGCTACAGGAGTTCTTCGCACCATTACAGGCTAGAACCTAACATGCTTCCCTCTCTCTCTCTCTCGCGCGCTCTTTGTCCCCCTCCCTTCCTCCATGAATTCAGAGACAATTCCGGCATGTTTTCGGATTGATTATATATATATAGAGATAGTTAGATGGTAGCAATGCTCTGATCACATGACTATTTCTTAACATCATTGTGAACATTTGGGAGATGTTCCGGTATGACCGTAGAAAGACCGGGATGTTCAAGAACCTTTCGGCGTTGAGAGGTCGTTCTCGAAAACCGGAGTTACAAGCTTTGGGGGCCAAAGCCTTGACCTTTGGTGTGACCTCGCTGTGAAGTTGCTGGCCCGCTGGCACCAGTGGCTATATAGTAGCTATATCAGCTATAGGTTCGGTATTAGAAAACATCTGTTTCCGCATGGACGCATTCTCTCCACAGCTGTGTTTGAATCCCTTCGCACGTGACCTTTCCTTTGTATGGGGTATAGCTTCATCATTTTACTTGTTGTAGTGCGCTACCCGCCACGTTCAGGTGCGAGAAACTGATTGACATCTGCACGTCTTTGCACCAAAAGCTCCACTGCCTCTGGTGATTTACACAGGCTCAGCGCATGTAGGCCAGAGGGACGATGAACGTCATTGGCATCCGCTTTCGCCTCCAGCAAGGCGTTCAGGACCTGCGTCACTCCAGATTCTGTTACTAATAGCGTCCTTGTTACTAGTAGCGATGCCCTTTGCTCCTAAGTAGCGTTCTTGCTCCTAGTAGTAAGGCCAGGAGCCCCTAGTATCTTCTTCGTTACTCTCTCTGTTTGCAAGAATCACCAGGGTCTGACAGGATCTCAATTCAGTGGCTGGGCATTGTCTGAAAAGGCCTAGTGAACAAGCAAGGTCTGCCTGGTCGGCCTTGCTTGTTCACTCGTGTTTTCTCCTGGCACAATGGCCTTGACGTCCAAAACGCCCCCGCACCGACGCGGTTTGGGCCTTCGGTGTGGGATCCTGGTTCTTTTTTGAGCCAGGTTTTGGGCAGTCTGCTGATGGCCAAAAGCCAAACAGCAAACTTCAAAAGACCCGAGCCATGTCGCTGGAGAGTCACCTCACACACCCTGGCCATGTCCAAAGCACATGAGCCTGTCTCGAAGTTGATCGGGTTCCCTTGCCCCCGCATGAAACAAATGCAGAAAACATAATGAAACAAAAAGGGGAACTCAGGGACCATCAACATCTACGGTTCGCAAAAGGAAATTGGCCATGGGATCCTTCACAAGCAACCCTACAGGAGAGGTGAATGTTCTCCCGTCCTTCGCCAGCGCCGGCGTCATCACATCCCACGACCAACTTCAATCCTCCGTGCTGCCCTCGAACCTCGGGCTGGCGCCATGCGAACTTCAATGCCACGAAAAGGAGGCTTGACTTTGCCTTGGTGCCGGCACGAGCTCGAGCAAGAACACGACGTCAGGGGGGTTGTGTCCTAATGCACAGCCACAAAGGGGTTGTTCACCTCCCATGGCTTTGGTCATATGGAAAACACAACCACACAAAAGCTGACTATTACATTCCCCAAGAGTTTGAACAAAAGCTTGGTCCTCACAAACCTTTGGGTCACTGTGGACATGTCTGAGAGCCACCAACTGGGCGCAACAAATATATTTATCACGTCTGTGGAGACAACCTCCGCCCAAACATGCCACAAGGTTGGGGGCTTCCTGAGCACCCCGGTTCATCATCATCATCATCATCATCATCAAATTTAGAACACATAGCCCGTTCGTCCATCCATCAATCACTTGATTCACTTGATCCCTCCTCACATGCTCCTCTCTTATCCCTCTCCAGTAGCTGCTGTTGCTTTGCACATCGGCTACTGATAAGGGCCCTACTCCCTACTCCCTACTAGAATATTTTCCGTGCACTGCGTCCAATCCAAATGCAGCGTGCCATAGGACTTCCCGGTTGATGCACGCAACCAACTAGGTCGGGGAAGAACAATCTGGGCCTCTTGCATCTACCTAACCGCCCAGCACTAGCAAATGACCAAACAGCCTGTTAGCGAAGTTAGGTTCCGGAGCCATGCGTCCTGGCTGGTGAAGCCCCAATGAACCAGCCTATGTCCACCAAGGCACTGCAATGCCAACCTCAGGCATCGCCTGCATGAACTTCTGGGCGGAAAAGCCCTCCTGCGCATGGCCGAAGGGCGACTCGGAGCTGGGGACGGCCTGGACGTCATGGAATTCTTCCACTACGAACATCAACACACACTACCACTACCACTTATATACTAAAGGCATCAAAAGGCCAACATAGGCCAACAATACGTTACGACTGGCGACCGCCTGTTCGTCCCTGAAATCCGGCAGGCCATGCCTTGGATAAAAGCGGGATCAGCTGAGCATTGCCAGACAGCGCAGCACATGCCATAGGACCCATACCAGTCTGCTCTTTCCGCGCCGATTGTAAGGATTGGAATTGAAAGTCGTCCTCGGGTGGGAGGTTCCCAGCAAATGCACCGTCACCAATTATAGATCATGTGGGAGACGCAATGCTACTCATTCTACACTCAAACTCAACCAGAACCAGCAAGCCAGTTCCATCTATCATGTTTTTTTGCGGAGAAAAGGCACGTGCAAAGCCAAATCAAGGTGCTTCTTTCGTTGTTCCCCAGCACACTCTGCAGGCTTCACCCCAAAAAACACACAAAAATCACACAGAAACAACAGCTGGTCCTCTGGGACTCTGGGAGGTTGCTCCGACATCACAAAGATGTTTTCCGCATCGTTCAGCCATCGAACAGTTCGGACTCCGGACGCTACTAGGGTCTCCTGGCCTTTCCCGCTCCGCCCTCGCTAACCCCTGATGCAAAGGTATCCAGCTATGCTTTCCCATCTCCCCGCGGCCCGACCGATCGGTTGTCCATGTTCTCCGGATGCGCCTGTGACGAAAGAGCTGGGGAGTGTCAACAAGCGACGGTCCAGAGCTCCTGTCCCATATATCCTCAGGTTCGGTGGTTAGAACCCACCCCAACCACCTGGGGATGTGGTTAAACTGACCTGCGCCACTGCATCCAGCACACCAAGAAGGTGCTCAACGAGCGTTCGCGCGGCGGCATCCCCAGGAATTCTTCACGGCGAGCAAGCCAAAAGCCTCACATGAAAGGCGCATGTGAAGCTGGGCTTTGAGACGTCTCCCATCAAATTCCGAAAGGTATGAAACCTTGATTGGCCGCAGAACCCACGCTTAAATCGCCAGAACTGGTCCGACTTCGAGTGGAAAGCCACCGGCTTTGCCGCATCCACCGTGACCCCAGCCACTCCGCGGGGCGCCCGAAGGCCCGCGCGCCGCCGAGCGTCGAAACAAGTTGATGTTCTGCTCCTCGGCCAAGGCTCGGAGCTTGTAACGAAGCCTCGGGACATCGCCGTTTGGGCAGCGTCGTCGCGTTGGGCCTTCGATTCGGTCCTGGACCGAGCGTGTAAGTGCGAGAGGACCATAAGGACCTGCAGGATGTGTGGGTTTCTGCTTGCTCCTTCATCTGGCTGGAGCGAAGGTGACTGCAAGTGCTGTACGAACGTGTCAAAACCCTTGGCAGTTGGCAGTTTCCCTGTTTTGGTGGATAGGTGTCCTTGGACAGCCCCCGACCCATCTGCACTCGTATTCATCCAACATGTCCCCACTACTGTAACTCACCAGGCGCATCTGACATGTGATATATGATATGATAGCAAAACACACATGTATATATATATATTTATTTACTTATTAAATATATGATTCAAATAATTATAGTATCAAATAAAAAGTGTTCTTGTTCATGCATCTGGTTGGATCACACACAGATCAAAGGAAGAATTGCAGAAACGCTGGGATGGCGAACAAGTTGTGCGTCAAAGGCAGGACGTAGAGGGCTGGTCCAAAGCCGGATGGGAGATGGAGATGTGAACACATGTGAACACCCCCTCTCCTACCGGGCTTGGTCAATCAACTAAAGCCAGCAACACTGTTAACGATCCAGGCCACAAACACGCAATGAGGCATGTTGAAAACAATGAACTCCAAACGCCATTGTCTTTCCAGGACCCTCCGTCATTCTTGGGCATGACCGTGCGTCCCGAGAAAGGAGGAGCGGCTCAACACTGATTCAACCAAGCAATTGCCTGCCCTGCCGTGGGGAAAACAAGATTTGGCAGCGAAGGATCGTAATTCCGATGTAATTTGGAGCAAAACAATCAAATCAAACCCATGTATAGACTTACTTTTGCTACGGTTGATTTCGCACTTGGATGACATAGAACTGGCTGAACGACAACATTGGAACAAAGTTTTAACTCTACAGTGAAGGACGGGGGGCAAGTGATGCAGCATCATCGCAATCTTCTTTCGATCTGAACTGTCAGTGAAATCGCCATCCAGTGGTAGCACATCTGCCCAGTTGGAGGTGACAACATCTGCTTGATCAGATGAGGACACAAGGATGACCAGGATGTCGCTTGGATTGTCCTTGATCACAAAGACACGCTGAGGATTTCATGAGCTATATACTTGGAGGAAACCATCTTCAAACACACTATAAACTAACACTCTCACCTGTCAATCATAGTGGATTTATTGAAACTTGAGAGGAGGCAGACACGAAAGGTAGGACAGCGGGAAGAGAAGAGAACGCGAGAGGCAGGAACAAAAATGCAAGTTTCGACATGGTGATTTATCCCCTCGGAGGCGACCTTTCGTAAATATATGTTCATATGCACTCTAAATGTTCAAACATATGCTCTCGAAATGTTCAAATAGATTCTTAGGAAGACAAACTTGCCCCATGGGTCAGATCATCGGTGAGCATTGAATCGGAGCATCATAGGATTTGAACTATCCTGAAACCATAAGAGGCTCACGAAGACGTTCCCCAGGAGAGAATTGACGTGCTTCACAAAACAAACTCTAGGTATGTATCCCCTCGGGGAACCTTTCGTGATTAGAATTTCATATGCACTCTTTCTGAATGTTCAAGAGGGTTTCAACTATCCTGAAATCATGAGAGGCTCACGAAGACGTTCTCCAGGAGAGAATTGAATTTGGAAAGGGGGGGGGTCTGTATTGAAAAATCAATTCCAAGGGGGGGGGGGGCGGGATTGAAAAAAGAATTCGAAGGGGGGGGGGGTGAATTGAATGATCAATTATTAGACCCGGACTCGCCGACACTTGCTTCGCAAGTCAAACTCAAGGTATCCCCTAAAGGGCTACCTTTCGTGATTTGGCTTCACCAGCCTCAATTGCTCTCTCACACACACCCTATGGCACTCCCTATGGCATTCATCACTGGTTTCATGTTCCACTGCTTTCGGCCCAAACCGGCCAACTTCACCGCTGCACCCACGCTCCACGCTCCGCTCCCACGCACTGCGCGGTGGACCGTCGCTGGATTTGAGGCTCCGAGAGCATCTTGCACCACATCTCTGCACGACACCAGCCGCGTGCCTCGGGCGGTTCGGCCCAGGGACTCCGAAAGACTCAGCATGGATCGAAACCTGGATCGAAACCTGGTGCTCTTGAACTGAAATGTGGAGACTTCGCAATACTTCAATCTGAAAAGCCACTTGAAATCACTTATTCAAAGGAACAACCCCAAAAAACAACGCTGCACCCACGTGTGGCCAGGCGACCAGCCAGCTCGCGCAATTGCACACTGCGGAGGTATCCTTATGAATCAGTCGAGGTGCCAAGACCTTGGGTATCGTCGCGTGCTGCTTTTTTTCTCAACGTGACGGTGTTTTCTCGGCATCGTTTCTCTGTTTGATCTCCTCGTCGCGTGCTATTTTTTTCAGCAGACAAAATAGGAACCATACTATCGGTGGGAGCTTTCTAGCTCAAAAGACTATACTTAACTACTTAATTAGTATATAAGTCTCGATCTATAGTCTTGCGACATGCTGGGACAATCTGGGACATGGTGTTGCAAGACCCCTGCGTACTGGTTGGCCATGTTGAAAGCTTGGGTAGTGGAGATGTGGGTAGAGTGGAGACGTGTGTTGTGAAGACGTGTGCTCGGCTGCTACGAGCAAGATCCTTAGGCCAAGGTATCCAAGGAGCCACGAACATGTCAGAGCTGTGCACAAAATATGGAATCGATTGTATCTGAGTCTCCTGATTGCTGCAAAGATGCAGAAAACATGCAGTACTTGCAGCAAGCACGGGAGAAAAGCTAATTGCTTCCAAGACTAGATCGGCTTGCAACACAAATTTGCTACACGTTGCAGCATGCCCCCTGGGCCTCCACCCTGCAACGACCCCAAGTTCTTGCACCCAAGCAATCGCAATATTCCCGTGTGTGAAGCAATCTGGCTCCCCCAAAAATCGGCGATGCGTTCATCTACTCTCAAGAGATGAGAAGCACACTAACTGGTCGCGGTGGCTTTCTTCACTTCCTCGGAACCAAAATGGCCGGGCCAGGATGTTCCTCCTCGACATCCTCCTCTACAAAACCATCCCATGAGCTAGCTGCCAGTTCGAACAAGTGCCCAAAGAGGCATCTAGTTTGCCCTAGTTGCCCCCAACCAGCTCAGTACGTCTTCGAGTTGGAGCGTCCATTCATACCTATTCCCACCCGCTTCGCCGCCGAAACCAACGGCGAACGGGTCCTGAGAGCCGAAGGAGGTGCTCTTCGAGGCCACAGAGGCCACGGGGCTCTCGACCTCGCCCTCCTCCGACGATGGAGGGCGAAGGACACCCAGGTGAGGTCCGGAGGCCTCTTTTTGGCACCAGAATGGCCCGAAAACATCTTGCACCACAAACATTTATATGACATGTTAAGAAGCAGCCATGAAGAAGTGATCCAAAACGAGACTCGAACCCCCTGCTGTGAGTTCTTTATAGCGGAACACCTGGTGGCTTACGGCTCCAGGTGTCTCCAGGCAAATTGAACAAACGTTTTGCAGGTGCATTCGTTGTGGCGTTGTGAGGGAAGGCTCCTCGATGTTCCCCTCTGAATAGATTTGCGGAACACTGAACCAATCCAGCCAAAGGAAAGCTTCTCGCATGAGGGCAGAAGTCTTCTCTGCTGAGGGAGCAGAAGTCTGGAGCCCTTGCAAGTGGCTCGCCAAGTCCATTGAGACAGCAAGCTTCCCATCCTGAACATGAAGTCAATGCAAGCCCCAGCCAACCCCAGAACCATACCAAACCCCTCTGTGTTCTCAAAAGAATAGTGTTTCTTGCTTGTGGCGGACTCTTTCTCCCCCATCTACAGCGACTAATTACCTAAAATCAGAATACAAACCCCCAATACCTGGGGCGATACTTGGGGACTTTGTGTGGTGGACGAATGATTGAAAAGGCCTGGGCTAAGTCATCTGATCCTGGATGCTGGAATCAAAGGTGAACGCTGCTTCCACACCAAACACATCCAAAAGATTGATCCATCGTCGGGAGAGAGGCGAGAATCTCTTGACTGCAGCATGCTGGGTGCTAACCAAGTCTCTATGATATTCTGAAGAGCTTCTTGAAGAACTAACAGCTGTTGGCCATCAGGGTCTGGGTGGCTGTTGGCAACCCATTGATGCGACACAAAAATGCAGCGCATCTGACCCCGTCGTCGGTGCAGCAGCCCCAGACCAGCAGTTGCTCATGACTAGGGAATGGGACGGTCATGGTCAAGAAGTCAGTGACGCTGACGACCTCAAGGAATGAACAACACAGTTGATGAACTGACCATGAACTGAATTCAAGGAATGAACGAAGCAATCATCTTGACCAGTTCAACCTGGTAACCTTCCATGCTTGCAATGACGTCTGATGATCTGATATGTCCTTCCAAACACGGTTTTAAGTGACTGGGGACCTGCACTCCACAGCCTCATGCTCAGTCTACACCGGGACAGTTCACCTGCTGAGTTCGCCACCCACATGGACACCGACGGGGTCGTCTCGATGCCATTCGCCGGCTTGCCCACCAGGGAGTTGCCCATTGAAAACACGCTCCCGGCGATGCGGCCGGAGCGGCACCGCCTCTGGCCGCGCTTGTCAAGGGCGCTATCTAGCTCAGGGCCCAGGGCGCTCAGGGCGCGACGCGCCGTACGGCGCGCTGCAGCTCCGTTCGCTGCGCCGATTTCGGGGCACCTCCCTCTGAGCAGGTGATGCGGCGGCGTTCTCTTGGTGCGAACAGGACGAGTTGGATTGAGTTCTCTAGCGATTTCAGGACTGCAGTTGATGGCTTGAAGAAAGACATGTTCACAGCAAAACAGCCTTAACACAAGCTTGGAGATTTCTCTTGCAAAAGGGGCCTTAATACTGAGCCATGGAATTGCCTATCAAGGAACCCCGTCCCTTGGTGGAAACACGAAGCAACAATACAATGAGAAGAGGCAGCCCTCCAAAGAAGCGTGGGACCTTAATAATTAGATATACAGTGGTTTCAGAGTAGATGGCACAAACCCTTAAGATGTCCTTTAGATGGGGATCCATATAAACCACCGACCTTGGTGATGGTGCCATCTACTCAGCTCTCTAATTACAGGTTCTCAGCCTTGCACCAAACGTTTTCTCGATTCTTTCGATGACCCGTTCCACGCGGTCCGGGTCACCACAAAAATCAGCGGCCCCCACATCGCGCCAAAACCTGGTATGTCCAAAGTCATACGTGATGGACACAAAATTGCAGCCAATGTCGGGCTTGTAAAGTAGCAAGTCAGTATCTAATATTCTGCCCCAGTTCAAACAATATTCAAGCATAAGTCCCAGTCCAATCCAAATCGGGAACCGATGTACAACGCAACACCAAAATCGATTGCAAGAACTCTGAGTGTCAAATGGCACTTTGCACATGATTGTCTGAGTAAAACTGGCCTTTCACTTGTGCAAACACATGTGCAAAGATTGAGAGTGATCCTTTCTGGCCTCTCGTTTTTCCAATGTTTTCCCCTGACATTTTGAGCCCTTCGTCGGCTCGTCGGCTAGGTCCTGCACCGCCATCAGCACCCCTTTTGGCGCAGAAAATCCATGTGATGGCTCTGAGCCCTTCAGCGGCTGTGGAACACATGGAGGGTGGGGCATGCATCTCTGAATCGCAGCTCCTCAAACAGCTGCAGCAGTTGCGTTGCCATCCTGAGGCTCTAACCCACTGAGAACCGCCATAGAAAGGATGAAGAAGGTGAAGAAGTGTCTCGAAATCAACAAACCATGGATGCATGAATGGATGGATGCACAACGAGCAACCAGAAGAATTCCCGACTCTGAAGGCCAACAATTGCTTGTTTGTTGATCTTGCTGATCAACTTAAACATCAGGAGAGTGGGGTTCTTGTTGATCTAAGAGCTTATAATAGGAACCCCACTCTTAAACATCTTCGCAGGCTTGCTTTCTCATCCGCCATGGCCATGGCTAAACTGAGTTGGTGACCTGCGGAAACTGCGTCTCATCACCTGAGCCGGTGAATCAACTTCAACCAAGCAAGGCGGAATGGGTGTTCGTGCCCATGACAGTGGGCCTCCTGAAGGGAAAGCATTGGTTGGAAAGGAAGCATCACCAAGCAACATGATACAAAACACATTGACATGAACGAAGCTGGGAGAAACTACTTGGAGTTTTACATGTTACACCATCTTAACTTTTAACACATCTCCCACACAGCTTGGGGCAGTTTCTCACACCAACACAAACTTCCATAACCAGTCAACAATGTCCCCACCAATGGACCAAGGCTGGAACCATCACCAGCTCGTATCGATCGTCTTCCCGATGGCCTGCAAGCCGTTTCGTGTTGGAGCATCCCCGAACCCTGCGTTCGTGATACAAATATCGGTGGGCGGCATCATTGGCAAGCCAAGGTGCCATGGAAAGTAAGTAACAGATGTAACAGTATATCATGGACCCCTCCAGAAGGAGGTTTCTGGATTTGACCAGCCGAAGTTCAAGGAGCAGCTGCCGAGAAGAGCACTTTGGCCCCAAAGTGAACAGTTGTCACCAAAGAGTGGCGGTCTGTGCCGAGAATCTTCGACAAGAAGCAACCTACAATGGTTTGACGATCAACACGGAATGGGACAATTGTTCTCAGGTGTAGTAGCACTGATGACGTCCTAGTCCTCAAAGTACCAAAAGACCATTGGGCAAACATGGGCAAACTGCAACCGCCCACGTGGCTTGCCTCGCCCACCTGGTCTGGACCGTCCCTGGGTCGGCAGCCAGGATCCCATTCCACCCTCGCTCCGGAATGATTTACGTCCGCATGCCATTTCAGTCTTTGGCCACTCAGTCGGCTGGCAATTGACTGGGGGTGTGCATCTTCCTACCTCAGTCGTGTCTATCAGTTTCTGTCGATGGTTGCAAGCCAAGAAAAGGTTCCTTTGTCATCTGAACTATGGTCAATACATGTCATAGCTAATAACTTATAACCGTTTCCGCAGATTGGAGTGCCCCGCATAGATTGATGTCGTATCAGGGAAAACTGTCTATCAAGAGAAGAATCGTCTCAAACGTTTAGTGCTGCTCGAACCTGGTTGTCGCTTATCTTTTCCATGGGTCTTTGATGTGTATCAAGTCTCTGCCATGTATCAAGTGTCAGCCAAGGCTTCAGCAATCCAATATGCTAAATTGCAAGCAAGCATGACAAAAGGTTATGGGTTCCATCCAGTAAACGTTTCTGCGTGCCAAATCCTGGGGACCTGATTCGGGCGGCTATGAAACCCACAGCAGCCTCTGCAAAACAAACTGGCGCAAAACATCTGGAAAGAACGACTGAGGGAAGGACCATGAATAAAACGGAAGCCTTGCCTGCTTTGCTTGCTTTTTCCATCTTTTTCCTCTCCCACCGAGTGGCCATAAGCATCCACTCAGGATATTGGGTCGAGGTTCAAGCGTCAAGCAGATTCAAGCAGTTCATTCTTCTCCTGGCCCGTTCGCGAGGAGCAAATCGTTTCGACACCCTACACCACCCCCAAGAATTAAACCACCAAACATCCCAACAAAAACACAGTGGCTTTTTCCAGGTTGGCTGGGCCAAACAAGTGAAGTACAGGAAGCGAAAGTACCCCTCTGGACTTCTGCAGCTGACGTCGCCTGATCTTGGCTGATGATTTCGACGTTTTCGTCATAGAGCATCTCCCGCCACTCTTCCACCATCAGCTCCACGGTCGTCTCGTCAAGGCCCGGAGTAGTACACAACATCTGGCAGGCTTCCAGGCCTCACGGTCTCCGGGGGCCCGAACAGGTGTGGGAAGAAGTGGGACGCGAAACAAGGGGCCATGTGTGGCCAGAGGTCTCCGATGTGGCCAGCCAAAGGTTGAAGCCTTCGACTATCCCATAGGTCACCGGTGACGGGTCCTTCTCCACTTTCACCCCTCTTGGAGGGCATGGTCATCCTCCCTCGTTTCGATGTGGCGCGACCGGGTCGAGGAGTCGACGTTGCCTGAGATCTTCGACCGCACAAAGTCACGACTAGCTTGGCCCCACAGCCATCACCGCACAAAGATGATGCTCGAACATGCAATTGTCGCTTCGTACCATAGGCTCTTTAAAAACTAGTTATTTTTGGTATGCCGATGTTATTCTTTGCTGAAACATGTTGGCTGCCAGTCCAGGGAACCTATTTGAACCTCCCCCTGTCTGCTGCAAAGTGGGGCGTCAAACAAGGAGCTCTCTGGCGGGTAGTATGTCCAAGGCTTGATATCCATACCGTTCTTCACGCCAAACTCATACACTTCCTGCCGAGACGCCGTGAGCTGAACGGAGTCCACTATATACTTGTTTAAAAATAGTATGATATTATATATACTATTATGCATATATATATATATATACGTAACTGATCAATTCAACAATAGATCCTGTCTTAAACGCAAAACCACCCATTAATGCCAGAGAAAGCATTTCGAGAAACCCCATTGTTCCAGGAAGAAAGCACTGTAGTGACGTGCAGAAAACTGTTCCCTGCCCATTTTATCTCAATAACGACCTTGTAATCGTGCAACTACAACTAACTGACTCTGCCTGTATGGAAGCTGTTCAGAAGTCCTCTTCACAGAAATGGCAATTCCTTGCGAATAGAACGCTTAAATTCAAGCAACTTTTGCAAAGTTCCTTGTGTGTAACTTGCGCTGTGGGTATCGCCAGTATCACCCTGCAACTTTCGCAATCTGTCAGGAAAGAAGTCACTTTCCCAAAGTACAACCAACCGTCGAATCCTGCCCCTGCGGAATCCCACAGCAACAAACGTACAAAACATGGTTCCTGAAACAATCTCGACACACACACCACCCAACTCACTAACACAAAGGCAGAAAGAAACCTGTTGCCCTTCTGTTTCACATCCCTGAGTCAGAGGTTGCTTCAATGTTATTGCTACTTATAGATACACACAAATATACCCCCCACATTGGGATGATTCTGTTGGGATATCATGAGTGCTATATGGTACGATGTCAACACATATTGTAACATATATAATATATATAGTATATTTATTGCATAGAACTGCATAAATACATGCAGCATTCTATACAAATATTTGTGAATACGGATGATATATATATATATAAAATGGACTAGCTCATGGCACCCCCACACACCGGATCTTCCCTCAACCGTCCGGTGAACCGGTCCCGCAAGCGCTGGTAGGCGATCATCGGCGGGATGGCCGGGTGGGAGGCCCAGTCCCAAAGCTTGGCCTAGACAAACAATGAGAGGTCGACGCTGATGAACATTGTATACAGGTTTATATGCAAGTCTATGCTATTAATATGGTAAAATAGAAAAAACACTGCGGGCCCCTAGTGGAAAGCTTGCTATGTTTTCCTTCTGTTTCTGATTTCTGACTTCTGACGCTACATGGACCTGGTATGCATGACATACACATACGCGAACATAGGGGGCCCCAAAATGAGGAACGCGTCGCGCCGTGAAGCTGAGCGATGAAACTGTTTCAATGGATGATGAGAGATGAAAGGTAGACGAGGGATATCTCAACTACCTAAACGAAGTCTGCGCAAAAAGCCGTCAACTATTGCAAGCATCGTAACCTACTAGTTACTGGCTTTAGGATGCTTTGGTCGCTCCACGTCCACTGGTCATCTCCAGCCTGAAAGGTGAATTCATAATGATCCTCTCGAAACGTCCTGAAGCTCCGGGCCGCTGGCAACAGCACCGACAACGACATGCGTGATCGGTAAGCCAAAAGCAATCGCTGTAGCAGCTGGTGAATCACGACGGTGGGCTTAGCAGCAAACCATCGTGCGCACATGCATGTCTGTTCCATAGCATACAGGAATTTACAACTCAGCGTGCCATGTGTGCCTTACCTTCACGGGATTGGCTCAGGATGCTGGCTGCGCAGCATACAACAATTCAGAAAACAAAGACAGACAAACACACACACACAAATAAACAAACAAACAAACAAACAATCAAACAAACAAACAAGCAAGCAAGCAAGCAAAAAAACAAACAATAAGCATATGAACTATCTATTATATATAAATTAAGTACCACAAATTAAGAACTGACTGACTGGTTGACTGACTGACTAACATCACAAGAAGTAAAGAAAGAACTTGAACGTTGGCAGCCAAACCCTCTTAGGTATATAAATCTAAGGTATGCAAAACAAGCCAAACATTCCTGTCGCGCGGTTCTCGAGTTCTCCTCTCCTGTAGGTCATGAAGATCACCACCCGTGGACTCTGAGAGTTCTCATCAGAACCTCCAGGACCTCCACAGCGACCCCGCTGCGGCCCCCCCGAAGCTTTGGATCTGGAGCAAGTGATGGAGTTTTTGTGATAAATGAGGATCAATGCCAAGCAGGAAGTCTGGCATGTCTGGAGAACCACTCACTTTGATCCGGTTGGAAGGCCCGCCAAGCATCGTGGTGGTGCCTAGGCATACAAACTTCTCGGGGTAGCCTTGAGTCTTGACTGTGATTTGAGGGACTCGATCTCAACTCTCCCTAGAAAATAAACACCTCCAAGTGGTCGTGTGCCTTACGACATTGACCGTCCTGCGAAACTACACATGAAAAAGCTAAAACACGGTGACTTGTTGTGTGGAACCTGCGTGGACAATGCCATCTTTGATCTGCACTGCATCCCCACTCTTGAAGGTTCCATTGTAAGACTCCACCATGTTCCTCAGCTGGCCACGTGAGTGGTGGAATATCATGTTTCACAAGGAGAAACCTGCAGGAACACATGTTTCACAAGGCACAGTTCAACACATGTTGGCCACTGCAAGAGTCATGGTGTCGATTATCTTCGCGCCCAATTCTTCCAAGGCCATGTTTCAGCTCAATGAGGCGTGTCAGCCCAAGAGCTGTGGGAAACCTACCATTACATCATCCTTTGCCTTTAATGTAGACTCTTGATTCACTTGATTAATAACCACCCCATATGAAGAGGTTTGTTCAATCCAAACGGGGTGGGCTTCTTAATCAAAAGTCTACATTACATGCCTTAGCATCATTGCCCTGTGGAGTTGCCTACAACTGAACGCCAATCAAGGCGCTGATAGACGTCCTTCACAGGCAACACCAGTGGGAAGCTCTGGTACACGAGTCCGAACTGCCCTTCCTCCGTGAGCTCTTTAGAATTCACTCCCATGATCTTGGCGATCTCCTGAAAGGCTCCACACCGGTGAGAGTGTAGCCAATCGCCTGAGAGAAAAAGAACAACCAATTTCACTCAACAAGTCTACATGACATGTAATCTTTGACCCTTTCTCGCACCGAACCCCTTCCCACCATACCTCCACTCATGTCCTGGCGACTGGGCGTGGGCAAGGTGGGATCGTAGACCAACGTGGAGGTCGTCTCTGTGAGAGCCAGGATGACCTCGGTCCAGTGGATGGACAGCTGGACGCAAGGTTTGGATGATGGAGTCAGCTAGCGAAAAGAAAATGAAAAATTGCCCTTTGCCGTGTTTTGAACCTAATAGCATGGCCTGCAATCTAATTCCAAAAAGGGGACTGGATCACACTTGAGGCCAGAGGGGGTGAACGAAAGCTAGCCGGGCTTCCGGTGGTCTGCTGCTGGTGCTGCTGCTGCTGGTGCTGCTGCTGCCGCTGCTGCGCTGGGCGCTGCTGCGCTGGGTGCTCTGCAGGCGCCGGGTCGTCTGCTGCTGCTGCTGGCGCTGGGTGGTCTGCTGCGGCTGCTGCTGCCGCGGCGTTGGGTATGCTGCTGCTGCTGCTGCTGCCGCCGCTGGGTGGTCTGCTGCTGCTGCTGGTGCTGCCGCTGCTGCGCTGGGCGCTGCAGATGCTTGGTGTGCTGCAGCTGCTTGGTGGTCCCGCTCACCGCGCGCAGGGGGGAGTCGAACCGCGGGGGGGGGGGGGGGGGGGGG